ACATTTTCAACCAAAAATTAATCTATTACTTTTAACGATATTTTTTTTTTTTTTTTTTTCAAGTTTCGAATACTTTACTATGAGTAAAAACAGCGTTTTTCAAGATGGCTGGCGATTGTAAAATCCGCGCCAACAATTGCGCCAACGCAAATCGTCAAAAATCCGTGCAACCGTCTACCAAAGTAGCACCAATAGCACATTATTAGATTAATTGTACCAAATTACAGAGACTGACTGTCACTCCAGGCTGCAAGTCGTGTATTCCTTTTGTCTTTCAAAGGATCGGAGTTTAAAAGTGTTTATATATCAGATGTTCTATAGCCATGATTACAGTTCCTTACTTGTAATGTTATTCAGTAAATTCAAATAGTATTTTCCTTCCGTTATCACTGTGAATGCAGTGGCAGGAGTTTGTGCACATTTTGCAGATTCATTGCCATTTCTAGTAATGTTGTAAGAAGTTTTGATTTATTAGCTATCTGTTTACTTACTACGAGTTGAGTTTTATTTAACAAGTAGAAAGCCCGGCGGTCATACGAAATGACCGCTGTTCTAGATATTATAAATTGATGATTATAAATAGATGATTTCTAATGCAAACAAATGTTCACGTTTTCCCTGACACACTCAATTTGCGTTCAGTTGGAAACCATTTCAAAGCAGATGATCGCTAATGCAAACCAATGTTCACGTTCCCCCTGACACGCTCAATTTGCGTTCAGCAGAAATTTCAGTTTAAAATACAATGTCGGAATAAAATCGGGCAGCTTTTAAACTCTTACGCGAAGATATTAGCATAGAAGTTTGGGTAAACCAACCTGTTGAAATGTACTACGCACAACTCGTTAGTTGGTTTCGTCTCCTTTAATTTCTCAACGTTTGCAAGTTTGTAGGTAATTCATATGTAAACATAATTAAATGAATTGTAAGCAACAATTGTAGGAATTAAAAATATTTAAATGTTCTTAAATACCATGATAATTTAATTAAAACAATGATAACTGCATGTATGGTATCAGTGTATATAGACTATTTGAATGCCGTGGCAACTTCACCCCATTGGCTGGTACAGTTACGCAAGCAACCAATAAACTACCGGCGACAAACAGACACATTAACACCTAAAGTTGTTACGAATATTCCATCAGAGCTTACAGATTACATTCAAAAAGCATTTATTCGGAGAATAAAGGGGTACTGAATACACTCGAAGGGGAATTGAGCAAAATAAACCATGAAAAAGAAACACAGAACCAAAACATTCGTTGAAAAACTACACTTAAAGCGAAGAAATATGTTCGCAGAGAAAGCCTGGAACTACAAAAAGGTAAAGTGTAATTATTTTATGGACACCGATAGCGGTTTTTAAAAACATCTTGTAAATTCTCGTGTTCTTTAGTCTGAACTGTACGAGACTTCTTAACATTTTGAAGGGCGGTGGTTACCTACAGTAACCGCACGTCTTACACACTCGTGTGAGTGGTTTCCAAGACTGGCCTTTTCTAAAGTTCCTTTGTAACTCACTTGATGGCAATCAAGAAACAAAAGCTGGTAGTTGATGCAGCAATTCTTCTTCAAGAAAATATGCATCAGCCATCGAAGACAACATGGTAGTCTGAACTGTACGAGACTGCTTAACTCTTTGGAGGGCGGTGGTTACCTACAGTAACCGCACGTCTTACTCACTCGTGTGAGTGCTTTCCAAGACTGGCCGTTTCTGAAGTTCCTTTGTAATTCACTAGATGGCAATAAAGAAGCAAACCCCGGTAGTTGAGGCAGCAAATCTTCTTCAAGAAAATATGCATCAGCCACCGAAGACAACATCACGACGATGTGCTCTCTGCAGCACCAAGAAAAGGCCTGTCAGAACAGTGTGCGAATGCAGCACCCTGCAGAGTTGCATTCTACTTGCAAAAGTGAAACTGTTTCCATGAGTAGCATATAGATTGACTAGTAGGGATGCGTTCTGTGGGCGGTGGTCAATGACACTAACCACCAGAAATGGCCATTTTTTCCCACGCATCTTGGACAAAATATGTATAATTGTCGCAAATAATTTCATTGTAACACCTGATATAGTAAATAAAACAAGAGTTTTTCTAAAAAGGTTAATTGCCTTGCCCTGTCCCTCAAAGAGTTAAGACATTAAAGGAATTATCACTATGTCTCTGTAAAATATCACAGAAACTGTTGTTAAGAAACAGCTGTAGAAGTTTAAGAAACAGTTTTGTTAGAAACAGTTGTAGAGATGTTAGGTATGTTTTGGAAGAGGGCAAGATGAAAAATGAGCAAACGCCTTTGTCGCCTTCGTTGGGAATCGAACCACGGACCTCTGGAATACCGGCCCAGCAAGCAGAACCACACACCACGAAGGCACGCTAGGAAAGCGGGAGAAATACCTTATATGCTCCCCCTTTTAAAGGGCGACTGGGGTTTTTAGGGGGCCCTGTTGCCAAATCCTGGGTGTGGAGAATCATCATCCAACACCCTTTTGTTCGGTCGCCACGGTAGAGACATTAAGTATTTTTTGGAAGCAAGAGAGATGAAAAATTAGCAAACGCCTTCGCCGGGAATCGAACCAGGGACCTCTGGAATACCGGCCCAGCGTGCAGAACCACTACACCACGAAGGCACGCTAGGAAGGCGGAAGAAATACCTTATACAGTGTAAAGAACCCTTTTATTTAATTCAAATAAGATTCACAGAAGTGCACTACTAGTGCTTGCAGATAGCCAGCATTGATGATTTAAATCAAAAGTATTCAGCTTGGCTTAATTAAGTAAACGTAAGCTAGCAAACGGCTACATGGATGGAGTGACGCACAAGGTGGTTCTGACATAAAGCCGTTGTAACAAGAGTAACGTAACGCCACACAAAATACTTCTGTCAAGAGAATCAAACTTTCAACTTGGCCTTCAACAAGTGGAGCACGCTCTGATTCTACCTCCTGCAACCTTCCTTAAAAATAAAATAAATTCTTTAAAAAATATAAGCTTAAATTCACCTGTGATTAATTCGAATATTTGCACTTGTCAGACGATATATAAACAGATTAATTCATACGATAAATTTCTTGAACAATTAATCACACAAAGTGATTGAAAAAGGATGATTGGTAAACTGAGAGTAATAGTTTTAATTCTGGTATTTATTGAAATTATATTTTAATTAATCTCTTAGAATATAAACTGCACATTTCAGTTAAGTAAAAGTAACAACTTTATTACACCTTTACTTTCCCCTCATGCGAATTTTAAAAAGCCTTTTTATGCTGCTAAGCTAATAGTTATTACTTGCTTTTATTGGTCATCAATTGACGTTTTCATCCAGTCCCATAATCTTCCCAGAAATAATATTATTCGAATTCTAGTAGTTATTTTTGCAGTTCAAAAATTATAAGCATTGATTATGTGACAACAATAGATCTAAATATATCAAAGAGAACAGCATTACTTGCTAAAAATTCATTATCTTAAATAAGAGTGCTGTTAACTAATTCTAAAAATACGTTTGTCAAAAAAGCAGAAAATATATTGATGGAATATATACTGACTGATGTCAAAAACTGATGAGTGATGTTTGACTGATGCCAAAAAATATATTGATGGAATACACTGAAGTGACAAAACTCATGGGATAGCAATATGCAAATCTACAGATGGCAGTAGTATCGCTTAGAAAATGTATAAATGCGAAGTGCTTTGGCAAGGCTTTCATTTGTGTTCAAGTTATTCATGTGAAGAGGCTTTGACGTGATTATGGCCGCACGACGAGAATTAACAGACTTTGAACGCGGAATGGTAGTTGGAGCTAGACGCATGAGTCATTCCATTTCGGATATCGTTAGGGAATTCAACATTCCGAGATCCACAGTGTCAAGAATGCGCCGAGAGTATCTAATTTCAGGCATAACATCCCACCATGGACAGCGCAGTGGCCGACCACCTGCACTTAACGACCGAGACCAGCGACGTCTGCGTAGAGTTGTCAATGTTCACAGACAAGCAACACTGCGTCAAATAACCGCAGAAATCAATGTGGGACGTACGAGGGACGTGTGCGATAGGACAGTGCGGCGAAATTTGTTTTCCTTGGGCTATGCCAGCAGAAGACCGACTCGAGTGCTTTACTGACAGCACGACATCGCCTGCAACGGCTCACGTGGGCTCGTGAGCATATCGGTTGGTCCCTAAACGAATGGAAAACCGTGGCTTGGTCAGATGAGTAACGTTTCAGTTGGTAAGAGGTGATGGTAGGGTTCGGGTGTGGCGCAGGTCCCACGAAACCATGGACCCAAGTTGTCAACAAGGCACTGATCAAGCTGGTGGTGGTTCCATAATGGTCTGGGCTATTTTTACATGGCATGGACTCGGTCCTGTGGCGCAACTGAACCGATCATTGACTGGAAATGGATACCTTCAGCTACTTGGAGATCACTTACAGCCATTCATGGACTTCACGTACTCAAACAACTATGGGATTTTTTATGGATGACAATGCGCCATGTCACCGGGCCACAATTGTTCGCGATTGGTTAGAAGAACATTCTGGACAATTCCAGCGAATGATCTGGCCAGCTAGATCGCCCGACATGAATCCCATCGAACATTTATGGGACATCATCGAGAGGTCAGTTCGTGCCCAAAACTCTGCACCGTTAACACCTTTCACAATTATGGGCGTCAATAGAGGCAGCATGGCTCAATATTCCTGCAGGGGACTTCCAACGACTTGTTGAGTCCATGCCACGTCGAGTTGCTGCACTTCGCCGGGCAAAAGGAGGACCGACAAAATATTAGGAGGTATCAATGACTTTTGTCACTTCAATGTATATACTGACTGATGAGTTTCAGTTGTATTCTGAAAGTAATTATTTTATTTCTAATAATTTTCAATGAAAATGTCTTCTTATGTGCTATATTACACACCATTAAAATGGCTGTAAACACATATCAAATATCTCCAAATGCATACTGAGTAACTGTTTTGTCTTTGTACAGCTGGTATCCAGGGATTTCCAACAATGCTCAATTCCATGGTTCACACCATTATGTATTTCTACTATTTTCTCGCTGCCTTGGGACCCAGAATCAGAATGTACTTATGGTGGAAAAGATACCTCACAATTCTCCAAATGGTAAGTAAAGCCCAAAATACAAATGATCTCTAAAACTAGAATGCCTAGGTGCAATCTGTAAACTTTTCTCAGACCTAAAAAAATATAAAATGAAGAGTACATTTCACGCCATTGTTTTAGTCCAAAAAAAAGCTTTAAATAAATTAAAGATAGTTGTAGTTACTAACTGTAACTTCTGCTTATGGCGAGTTTTTACTTCCTTGTACGAATTAAAAGAAGTATTGTTATCGAAAAAAAATTAGGATATCATATTTCAACGAAAATATCAATTTTAAGTGTTCTCGAATATGCATTTGAATGACTTTGTTTTGCGTTACATCTGTAAGTACGGACAGAGTAAAAGACTCTTTTCAAAACGGATTGTAAAATAGATTTAAAATGGACACAGGAGGGATTTTCCTGTGACATGTGTACCTAAATATGTATCTCGTATAACTCAAAAATGGTTAGCCTTACAACGTTCTTAATTTGTAGACATTTGTAACCTCTAGCTATGTATCTTTCATTTTTGTTGCTATCGGGCGCATCAAACACATATATATGCCCATCCTGTTACCTGGTTTTATTATTTTATGCCGGTAAATTGTGCATTTTTTTGCTTCAATTATGGTATCCTTATTTTCCGGTTTTTACGCCTTTAATTAATATACATGCAACAATTGTATAACTGTCAACAATTTAAAAGTGACACTAAGCCTAACATGCCGGCTATTTGTTTACATTTGAAACTCTTACTAGCATAGTGCATTAAATAAGTTTTCACATCAACTTCATTATCTTTTTGCCCAGTGAGACCGGAAGTTAACTTTAAATGTTTGTGCACTGTAAAGTTTGTCTTTTTGCCCGTTTGCCGAATTGCTTGTTTTGACAAAGGAATTCTAAATTTGATTGAAAACAAAAATTTCGTTTAAATATTTTTAATTGTATTTGGTGTTTTAGGTTTTTTTGTATTTTACAATTTTTAATGAATGTATTTTACAATTTTTTTCAAGTGTTTATGTATTTTTGCCTTACCGTGAAGTGAGAACTGAATTGATTGAATGAAATACATATCTGTAAATGAAATTTGAGGAAATACGTTTAAATGAAGTGCAGCAAAAATGTGTTTAATTTAATAGGAAGTACAAGGAAGTCGTGTGATGGCCACATCAGATCTTTCTACTTTGCATGTTGTAATAATGGCGGCATTATATACAGGAAACTCGTGTTCAAAACTCAGCCTAAAACAGCATTTGCCGTTCATTCCAATAAGCTAAGCATAATACATTTACGCAAAGACTTGAACGGCCAATTACATAAATAATGCCACCATAATTACTTGACAAAAGATAATTCAGGAACATAAAAAAGAAAGTTTCAGATAAATAATGCCACCAATATCTTAAATTTTCGTTTTAAATTTCTTAAACTCTCTTTTGGTAAAGAATGTTATATTTTAGTGGACTGCACTATAAAAATCAGACGAAAAACGTTTTTATTATTCCATTCCTGCATCTCTCCGCTTTTAGTAAAATAAAAATTGATTCTGATCAGATTCTTAAACTATAGTCCATTTGCCTACTTTTATTCTCAGTCTTATGGAGACGACTGCATTACCGAAGGTTATGGGTCAAATAACCGCAGAAATCAATGTGGGACGTACGAGGGATGTGTCCGATTATCCCTGAGAAAGCATGGATGTAAATTGTCTGTCCCCTCATAGGAGGTAACGATGGCGGCCTATTAGATGTCTACATAATAAAATGTCCACCACTACTGGCTTTAGTAGTGACGAAAGAAGTGGCTAGAGTCCGCCATAAAAAAATAATTTTAAAAAAAAATTTGAAAGTTTTCAGATTTTAAATTACGTCCAACGTTGTGTTTTTTTTTAACGTTTTGTGTGTTACCTTTATTCATTAAATATCACGTTCTTTGCACTTAAACCATAAAATTCAGTTCAATAGCAATGTCGCAAAATAATTTTAAAATGAGCCTATCTTTGGAATTTCCGATACACATTTCCGTGAGCTGGAGATAAAAAAGTTCTTCCCCCCCCCGGTAGAGTGTTGCCATTGCTCGCTTTGAAATCCTTGAGTTTGTTAATCAAAAATTCGTTAAAGTTTTACAAAATAGGAAATCGGTGATAACAGAAATTCCAAATTTCAAATTTGGTCTTCCACATATCGTGTGGCTCTATGTACCGTTGTTTATCGCAATCCCAGAAATCCTCCATATTCGTAGGAGGATTATGTCATTCAAAATTCGATGGCTCTATGTACCGTTGTTTATCGCAATGCGAGAAATATACATACATTAATGCAGATTTTTCATTATTTAATTTCTTCAAATATAACCAGGACTCTAACATTGGGTGGCAACAGCTTGAAAAGTGAAACGGACATTTATAGTGATTCAACGCAAAATCGCAAAAGTAAATTAATGGTTCTTCAGGGACAAAGCCCCTTTGGACTAAAAATATGAAAGTTTTCAGATTTTGTAGCACACTCAAACTCAAAGGGGCATTTTTCTAGCGTTTTGTGTGTTACCTATTATGTTCTTTATGCTTAAACCATAAAATTCAATTCAACAGTAATATAAAAACATGTTTAAAAACAGCATACCTTTAGAATTTCTGAAACACAATCTCGCGCAATGGAGATGAAAATGTTTTTCTTTTTTTACGTACTGTGTTGTCATCGCTCGCTTTGAAACCGTTGAGTTTGTTAAAGAAAAATTCGTTAATGTTTTACAAAATATCAAATAAATACAAAAAATAAATTCCAAATTCCAAATATAAGCTTCCAGATGCACATATTTGAGTGGAGCCATACGTTATTCAAAATTTGATGTCTGTAGGTACCGTCGTTTGTTCATAGTGCGAGAAAACATACATATATTAATGCAGATTCTTCAATATTTAATTTTTTGAAATATAATAAATACAGTGCTCTAATACTTGTCGGCAACAATTTAAAAAGTGAAACGCCGTTTTATAGTGGACGGCGCAAAATGGCAAAACGAAAGTAATAGCCCTTTTCAGAAATTGCCCCTTTAAGCTAAAAAGTTTGTTTTTAAAAATTCTCTGTCTTATTCTTAAATTTTACCAAAAAACTACGAAGAGTTATAATTTTCTCTCTCGATATCATATCATGGGATAAATTCAGAATTATTCAGTTTCTTTGCATACCGTATTTTCTTGAAAATTAGACCTCTTCATATACAATCCTCTTGCATTTTCGGATAAATTTAAAATGTAAAAGCGTAACAGAATATTTATTTTGTCTTGTAGTTATTATAAGAAAGATAATATTAGTTTTCCCTTCTTCTTTCAGAATTTTCATGAAGTAGCATAGTCGTTAACTATGGCAAAAGATCAATGCCAGTGGTAAATTGTTACGCACTTGTTCTTAGCATACCCAACGACCAGTGCTGCTGATTTTGCTCTAAACTTAAGTTGCTCAATAATAAGTTTAATTGTTATACTTAGCATTCTGCTACACAAGTTATATGTATAAATAACGATAGATCAGTGAGTTATATAATAGTTTGTTTAATATGATAATCAGTCGTTTCCACTCGTACAATTTCATTTAACGACATCATATAACGATTATAAGATCCTACGAATTTTTAGTATAAATTAAGATATAAATACCGAGGCTTTTCGAGTAAGTATGGGATTTTCAAAACTTGCGCAGTATTTACTGACTTTGATGATTATTTTTCGAATATTAATATTTCTTCAATGAAAAATAATTGACCAAAACATCTGACGCGGATACCATATGACTTCCTTGCATGGCTTATAAAATTATGCACCTTTTCTGTTGCACTTCATTTACACTTATTTCTTCGAATTTCATTAGACATATATATTTCTCATTTAATCAATTGAGTTTTCACTGCGCGGCAAGGAAAAAATACATAAAAACTCAAAACATCTTCATTAAAAATTGTAAAATACAGAAAAGCCTAAGACACGAAATACAATTTTAAAAAAATTACAATTAAAATTAGAGTTCTTTCCTGTATATGTAATATTTTGGCAGCCGGGCACTCATATGAAGTTTGGCATGAAATGATGACACAGAAGAAGTTAGCTTATAAGGTATTTCTCCCACCTTCTTAGCGAACCTTCGTAGTGTAGTGGTCTGCACTCTCAGTGCGTAAATGAGAGGTCAACGGTTCGATTCTCGACGAAGATGTTGCTAATTTTTCACCTTGCCTGCTTCCAAAAATTACCTAAAGTCTCTACAAGCTGTTTTGATTCCACACCTTTATTCAATTTAAATGGCAAATCATTATTCTTTTAGATTCTCCAAGATTACATACGCGATAGTAGTTTAGACTTAGGATTAACTTTAAATTTACTGCGTCATACTATTAAAAAAAAAAAAAATGACAGACAGGAAGAGCGGCAGTAAAGTTCTTAAGCAGCAGGAGGAGAAAAGCAATCTGACGAAAAATGGCGCGAACTCTTCATTTATTGTAGCGATTACGTAACATGCCAGAATGTTCTCGAAAGTACTGGTCTAGGGAAATTTTAAAATTACGGAAAGTTAATTAGAGGTTGCCTGTTCGCATAGAGCAAAGCCATCGTATTTTTTATATTTTACATATACATATGTTACGGTGAAACACCGAAATCTGGACAATGTCGACATTCACCGGTGAATGTCAACATTCACATAGTCGCTTGGTGTAAGTCCGAAATATTTTCCAAATACTCTTATTTCTGAATTACACCGGTGAATTTCGACATTCACATGTACTAATGGTGAATGTTGAACATATAAGAATATTGTATTTCCTTCTCCGTAATTTATTCGCACTTGAAACTAAATAAAAACGCACTTGAAACTCAGAATAAGAATTTAAGAATATAAGAACTTAAAACACACAGTACATTCAAAATGAGAAAGGAAAATAATAGAAGTTATAAACTTACCAAATTATGTGATTCAAATCTTATTTATTGCAACAACTTAAACTATTATGACACTTTGAATTGCACAAGAGGCCCTTGCTTTTACAACTGCATTTATTTGTGGAACACTTCCTTTTGGAATGGCAGCGTGTACATATACTCCTCTCTTTTCGACCTACACCACAGCATATCTGTGATTGTCGACATACACCGGTGAGGGTCCGAATGTACAAGAATGTAAAGAAATATTCGATCTTTCACTGACGTATTTGGTGAATGTTGACATTCTCCGGTGAAAGTCGACATTCTTCAATTTCGGTCTTTCACGGTAACATATATATATGATACTTTGGCAGTCGGGCACATGAGTGACGAAGCTTGGCATCAGAGTCCAGGCGTTGTTTGGCTGAGTAGAGTACAGCAGAATGATGGCACAGAAGGATTTTGCTGTTAATTGCACATCTTTATTCAATTCAAATGGCCGATAATTTTTCTTTTAGATGAAATTCTCCTAATTACGTATCAAATAGTGTTTTAAACTAAATACAATGAAATCTAGGCTTTTAACGTCATAACTATTCTAACAATGGGAAGAAAGATGAGAAGCGCAGTAGCATAGAATCTTAACAGCAGAGGGAGAGAGGAACTTCTGACGCAAAATGGCTAGAATTCGTTATTTATTGAAGCGGTTACGTAATTAGGCTGGGATGTTCTCGAAAGTACTGGTCTAGTGGGGCGGGGAGATCCTGAATTGCAGAAAGTTAATTAAAGGTTGCTGGTTCGCATAGAGCAAAGCCGTCCTATTTTTACTTCCTTGTACGAAGTAAAAAGGAAGTATTGTAATCGCGAAAAGTTTTAGGCAGCATATTTCAACGAAAATATCCATTTCAACTGCTCTCGAATGCAACAATTTGAACGATTGTTTTTGCGTGATATCTGTACGTAACGACAGAATAAAATACTCTTTTCCTTCAAAAAAATTATAAAACTGCTTTAATTCTGAAGAGAATTTTTCGTGGCGTCTGTATGAACGTATACGTACGTGCGTACGTACGTCCGTATCTCGCATAACTCAAAAACGAGTAGCCTCAGAACGTTGAAATTTTGTATATAGGACTGCTATAACATGTAGATATGCACCTCGTATTTTGGTTGCAATCGGCCGCACCAAACGTATATGAATATATTTATATATATATCCACTCTGTTACCCGGCTCAATGATCTCGGTTTCTTTCCTCTTATATGTTTGTAAATTGTACATTTTTTGCTTTAAAAATGATTGTATTATGTTGTTTTGATTTTCCGGTTAAGGTTTTTATGCCTTTAGTAAATCTGTATGCAATATTTTTTCAATTATCAACAATTTTAAAGTTGTCTAAGTGCCGCTAAGCCTTTTTTTAATGGCAGCCATTGATGTTTACATTTGAAACTGGAGACTAGTGGATTTGTTGCCAATCTAGAGAAACGTAGCTTCGCAACAACAAAGATAACGCATTCATTTATTATTGCTAATTAAATCATGGCTTAATTCTTTCTGAAATTTTTTTCGAGGAAATAAGTGTTTAAGATTTACTTTCGTAATTTTTAATATATTTATTTTGAGATTTTATGCAATTTTTGCCTTCTCCTTCTCGCGAAGTGAGAACTGAATTAATTAAATGAGAAATACTCAATCGTCTGTGAAAAACTGTTTCATTTTTGTTTTGTTTGCTTAATTTCTTTTATACATCATTCTAGCTTTATTATAGTATTTGAATAGAACATGTGGCAACGATTAGATAATTCTATTCTTTAAATGATATAAATTTTGTGCATTCTGAGTTATAATATGAACAAAATATATAACTGTTATATAATTATTGGATTATACAACAGTTAACTTAGTTTCCGTTATATAATTATTATATAAGTTAACTGTTATATAATTACTAATACTGTTAAGTGAATCTAGCGCCAGTGTCGCTATGGTAAACAAATACTAGAGTGAATTTTAAAGAATGCATTTATTCTATTGTAGTTTATGCGCCTTCGGCGAAGTAGTTTTAATTCAATCCAATAAGTTTAAATGAAATGCAAGAAAAAATGCGTATAATTTAATTCAATTCAAATACAAGGAAGTCATGTGGTGAAAAAAATCAGGTTTTTTATATTTTACATATATAAGTTTTTTGCGGCCGATTGCAGCAAAAAACGGAGGTGCACACTAGATGTTGTAACTGTCCGATTTTTAAAATTCTAGGACTAATCGTTTTTCAGTTATGCGAGATACATTCGTAAGTACAGACGTACTGACGTCACAAAGAAATCTCTTATGCATTTATTTTATATCCGTTTTACACTCCTCCGTTTGGGAAAGAAAGGTCCTTTAGTCTGTGTGTACGTGTATGTGTCATTAAAAAAAAAAAAAAAAATTGGATTCGAAAGCTGTGACATGTTCTACTGGATATTTCCTTTGAAATATGATACCGTAAATCTTTCGCAATTACAGAACTTCTTTTACTTCGTATAAGGAAGGAAAATATTATAATGTCGTTGAAATTTCGATTTTCTTTATATTGTTTATTTAACTAATGAAAAGTAGCTTCCAAGGGAAGGAAAGGGTTTTAAAATGAATTAATTTTCAAATAACTCAGTTTTGTATTTGAACTTTACAACAGTTTTCATTGTAAACAGAAAATGTTTGAAATGACAGAATAAATGGTTTGTTTTGAATTTCAGCATGAGAGTTTAATTAAAAATGTGCTGCAGTTTATTATATTTTTTCAGATATCAGTAATTTATTTGGTTAATATTAAAATCTGTGTTTACTGAAAATCGTATCAGTCAATTCTAGTAACGCCTTTCTTTCCTTTCTGATTTTATTTTAGACTCAGTTCATCATAATCTTCATTTTTGCGACTGTGATAACACCACTTGCAGGATGCAGCTCAAGAAAGAGTAGTGTCTATATCCATATTTTTACTGCTGTTGTGTTCTTTATCCTGTTTTACAATTTCTACCGTCACTCATTCAAGCCAACAAAATCTCACCAGAATTCGAATTTCGAAAAGGGAAAAGAATGAAGACAAGTGTTCCAATGGCCAGGTCATGAACGGTCACGCAACAAAGATTAAGTCCAACTAGAACTCAATTAACACATCATACTTATTGAAACGGTGCTTATTTTGTATATGTTGCCTTTGAAATAATTGACTTTTCTGAAGCCTGTACTTTTCTGATGGAATACGATTCCTTTACTTTATACTCATAATGTACTAGACATCTCACAACCTTTGCCAAATGAATTTTTAATACTTAAAATATTGTAAAGCATAATAATAACGCTTTACAATATTTGTAAAGTTGCAACAAAGTTTCTAGTTGTCCATTGTACAACAGATATCTTTTGTCCAAAAAAGCAAGGCCTATTAAAATCTTGTCTCCTTATGAAGTTCTTATCAAATTCGTGTAAGGCACGGATTCCTAGCTAACGTTACGCAGATGAACCAGATCAGAGTTAGGCCATTCTTCTCAAAGGATATGTACTTCATAAGATGTCCAATCGAGTGAATGATAAATGCATGTGTCTGTATTTTTATTCTGTTATAATTTTAGGAAAATTGTTAGCATATAATGTTTTTTGTGTTGTCTGTAAGAATGTATATATATGTTTAACGTATATTGCACAAAAAAAAAAAAAAAAAAAAAAAAAAAAAAAAAAAAAAAAAAAAAAAAAAAATTCTATATCTGCCTGGGCCGATTGACGAAATTAAAATTGTGTTTTACACGTCTCGAAAGCGCGATTTAGGATACATATTATATTTATATATAGCCCCATTCTAACATAGGCATTTTGACACAAAATCGGACTTCTTCTGAAATAGCATGCCAATTGTTTTCCATATTTTGATTCTAAGACTCAAATTATGCCTAGATATTAAGTTTTCTAAAATTTCGTACGAAATTTACGGACAAAAATATCAGAAATTTATCTTGGCGTATTTTTTTCAGTTTGCGCCAAGAATAATTTACTTGGCGAACTTCTTAATTTATGGCAACCTATTTTCCTTTCCTGTTTTGCATTGCAGACGAGGGGGAAAAAAAAGTCGTCGTTCATACTTTCAAATAATTTTAACGAAGTGTGTAAACCACATTTGGCGTTATTATCGCTCAAAAAATTGCCAATTTTCAAAACGCTGCAATATGTAAATTCATGCATATCTTAGAACATTTTGAATAAAAAAACTCTCATTTTTTGCAGGTGTGCCTAGAAAAACATTCACTTTACAAGGATGTAAAAATTTTTATACGTTATAATATAAAAATGTTTTCACAAAATTTGTAAAAAATATTTAAAAGTACAAATTTTTAAAAGTAAATCATAAAAAATGTGCGAATTATGTTTGAATTAAGCCTAAATTTTGAATTCTGAAAGAAGGAATCAAATAAATTTAATAGAAAAAAGAGATATTAATAATTATATATCAAATTCAATTAAAATTGAGGAGCTAAAATTTTGAGAGCTAATTTTTTAAAAAATACTCGCGCGATGTTTTTCAAAACTTGGCAGTTCGGCGTAATTTGAGTCACAGAATCGGAATATGGAAAAAAAACTGCCATGCCATTTCAGAAAAAGTCCGATTTTGTGTCAAAATACCTATGCTAGTATGATGCTATATATCAACCTAATACATTGCTTTCGAAATATGAAAAACACAAGTTGAATTTCGTGAATCGGCCCGGCAGAACGGGATATATAGAACTGTCCCCTTTTTTTTCGCAGTGTATATACACGTGCATCAATACCTCTTTCTCGAGGCAGTTTTCCGAAATCTCGGCTTTCTTAGTAAAACCTCGTGTCAAACAGAGGATTAAAATCTATTCAACCAAGAGGTAGTTAACATGAAAAGCTGGGTTATATGATTAGACGATTAACCTGCATTTTCTCTCAGAACGTGTTTCGGAGGATAGTAGAATTCCCATTATCTGAACATCAGATACCCGAAACCGCAGCTATCCGAATTCGCCTCCCCTTTCTATGTTACAATAAATAATAAGCTTGATAATTTGTTTAAATGTTTCAATTTTTGTTTTCGATTTATTAATATAAAATGATAATACCATACCATGCATTTTTATAAAGCTATTATATACCTTAATTAAAAAGAATCAGCTTTCAATTAATTAATTTAATATTATTGTTTTTATTAAGTTATGCTTCATTATTTTATCATTTTTCTCTCATTTAATGTAGTTTTAATTTTAACGAAACAGAATATGCATTTAATATTCATCTGTAAAATAATTGTTTTTTTAATTTATGATATAAACCTATAAATATGTTAAATGTAATACAAATAAAAATAAGGAGAGGTATTCAGATGTGTAGAGTCTTCACAAATAAAAATTTATTTCATACTTTTATTTTGGTTAAATATTTTAGGCAAATTAAATGTAATTTCATTGTTTTATTTTTTCGAAAACTGCAATTTTATATTTTGTTTAACTGAAATCAAATACATCTTTTTTAACTCTGCAGTCTTTCCTGGAAATAAAATACTACAAATCCAAACATGAATTTCTATCACTTCAATTAGAATAAATGCCAGTCCTTTAAGTGATGTGAGACCTCAATTAATCAAATTAGGATTTATTAGAGCACAGTTACTCTTCTAAAGTATGGAAACGTGATTGACAAGTACTTCACTTTTACATTTACCTCAGGGACTTCCAGTTTTCAGAATTTTTCCATCAAATAGCGATTTATGTTCTTTCGTTCAAAACTGTGTATATCTTTCAGTTTTTCAGAATTTGGAGTCTCAGTTACTTCGAATTGTTTCGAAAATGTGTTTATCTTTAACATGAACACCACTTTAAATTAAAATAGAGCTAGGAATAGTGAAATCTAAAATTAATGACGTTTTGTACAGATGTATCTGATTACATGAGCTGTGATATTTAGGAGGTAAGGTCCCAAAAAAATGTAAATCAATACATTCTAAATACAAACCAAAATTTTAGTTCAGCATTACTACCAAAAAAAAAAAAAAAAAAAAAAAAAAAAAAAAAAAAAAAAAAAAAACAAAAAAAAAAAAAAAAAAAAAAAAAAAAAAAAAAAAAAAAAAAAAAAAAAAAAAAAAACGCTTATTCGGATATAAAGATGACTGATTATTCTAGAACATCCGGATATTTGTAGATTTTTTTACATCTCATTGATTTAAATAGGTCGTAAATATGCATTCCTTATATCTTTGTATTTCTTGAGGCAAAGAAGTACATTTGTGTTAAATCTTTTGAGGTCCAAAATATATAGTTTACCTTAAATATATTTTTAAAATCAATAATTTTTTTTTTTTTTTTTTTTTTTTTTTTTTTTTGTAAAAACGTTTTTTCAGAAAATTAAATCTCTGTAGAGGTTTTGATATTTGATATTGTTTCCAGTTGTTATTTTTTTCATCTACATTTTAGTCTCTCTCTTCTAAATTTACTAAACTGTTACTCTTATTTGTCTACATACTATAAATTTTCATTGTTGCATACAGCCGTTTAATGTAGTAATTCTCTTTTCGGTGTTATATATTGGTACTTTAAATGAGTCTATAACTTTTTTTCGGGGAGGGGGGGGGTAGATTTGCAGTTTCATTTCATGGCTGTACCTATTTCTGGCATCCAAAAGAATATTGATTCACGAAAACAGAAGAAAAACATGGCAAAGTGAAACATAAAATTAGTAAAGAAACAACCTTGTTTCTGGCTTGCATTTTGTCATGATCTCAATCAATTTTGAGGCCATACAGGTACAAGTCCCTCTTCATCAGGAGCAAAGAAAATTTGTTTCTATTTTTGCTGCTTATATAATTTTAAAAGCGTTAGAAAAGATTGGATAAAGTTATTAACTAAGCAACATAAATCTTGTGAATGTGAAAAAGTTCAAGAAAATCCAGTTCACTTCTTGAAAAAGCGTTTTGAATAATTTTTACAGATCCAGATTTAGAAATAAATTAAAAATTATATATTTAAGTTTCCAGTTATGATTAGCTATCGAAGACTTACTAATTTCCTCTTTTACGGACATCATATCGATTGAGTTCTTGACTAAATCTTCGCCAAACAAAGTTTGTTGCTTTCCTAATTTTCTTGATTTATGGTTTAACAAAGAATGTTCACTACTTTCTGGTTTACCAAAGCAAATTTCTTTTTGTTTAGTAAAGAACATTGCTTTCTGGTTTACCAAAGAATATTGATTTCTGGTTTAACAAAGAACATTGCTTTGTGGTTTACCAAAGGATATTGCTTTTTGGTTTACCAAAACAAATTGCTTTTTGTTTGCTTTCTGGTTTACCAAAAGATATTGCTTTCTGGTTTATTATAAAATATTGCTTTTTGGTTTACCAAAAATATTCCTTTCTGGTTTACCAAACGATATTCTTTCTGGTTTGCCAAAAAATATTGCATTTTGGTTTACCAAAGAATATTGCTTTCTGGTTTACCAAACAATATTCTTTCTGGTTTGCCATAAAATATTGCTTTCTGCTTTATCAAACGATATTCTTTCTGGTTTGCCAAAAAATATTGCTTTTCGGTTTACTAAAGAATATTGCTCTGAACATCTCATGACTGCCGTGCAATGTGTTTAATTAGAATAAACGTTTCTATTTTAAAGCTCTGTATTACTCTACTAGAAATTCATATTTCTTCTTGCATTGAAATCAAAAGCAAATATTATTTAAATTATGCTCCACTAAAATGTTTATATGAATTAGATTTGTGCTGTTGAAATATATTTAATTTGTGCAGAGTTGTCCATTTATTTTTTACAATGTTTTCAACGTATTATGTTTATGATTTTGAATTTTATAGTTCGTTTTAGTGCATATGCATTTATATATTTGTGCCGAGCAAAAATGTATTCACGTATTAATAGTGAGAAAATTTAGTGCTCGTCGTATACTTGTATTTTTTCTACTTTTAGAATAAAGGTAGTTGTTGAAATTTAATTTTTTTCTTTTTTCTCCCACCTTCACTAATTTTATTACTCTGTTGTTTAAGAAAGAAAAAAACTAAAGTATGTGTCTTATTTTAATGATAGAAAACGGAGATGTCTTACGATTATTTCATAAATATCCTATTTACTGCACCTTATATTGAAAAATGAAAATGCATCGAGGAAAACTGCAAAAAAAATCGTCCAAAACGCTGATTTGTTTAACAAAAATGATAGGAAAAACAGAAAAGATTCATAATTGAATTGTTAATTCAGTTTGTTATACTAAATTTACGATTGCTTAAAAAAGATCTGAAACGGGTCAGCATTTTCGAAAATAACATAAATATTAATTTCTAAAATAGATTCTGCGAAAGGTCAACAATCTTGCTATGGAAAATTTAAGCAAAATTGAGAAATACTTAAAACCAAGTTATTCACTGAAACATCAACAGATAACAACATCTTAATTTATTGAGGTTAAAAAAACCTTATAGTTCAGAGAAAAAAAAGTAGTTTTTTTTTTTTTTTTTTTTTTTTTTAGTCCAAAGGGATTTCAGTCCCGAAGGATTATTGCTTTCGTTTTCGCATTTTGCATCGGACTCATAAACGTCGGTTCACTTTTCAAACTGTTGCCACAAAATGTTAGAGTCCTGCATTATATTTGAAGAAATTAAATAATGAAAAATCTGCATAAATGATTGTCTATTTCTCGCATTGTGATAAAAAAAACAATGGTACATAGAGCCATCGAATTTTGAATGACGAAATCCTACTGCGAATATGGGCATCTGAAATCCCAAATTTGGAATTTGTTTTATTATAGATTTATATTTTGTAAAACTTTAACGAATTTTTGATTTACAAACTCAATGCTCTAAAAGCGAGAAATGGCAACTTTATATAGAAAAAAAATACTTTTATCTCCAGCTCGCGAGACTGTGTATATCGGAAATTCTAAAGATATGCTTAATTTAACATTATTTTGCGATATTGCTCTTGAACTGAATTTTATGGTTTAAGTGCAAAGAACATGATATTTAATAAATAAAGGTAACACTCAAACACTCAAAACGTTAAAAAAACGCCCCTTTGGACGTAATTTAAAATTGAAAAATTTCAGTTTTTTTTTTTTTTTTTTTTTTTTTAGAAGTTGTTGGAAACAGAAAGAATCTTTATCAAGCTTTATTATTTTTAACCATCTTTATCAATCATCCTTATGCAGGTGAATACTCGAAATTCTTTGGACCTTTCATATAAAGAAAGAAAGACGTGATCTTTCCGGCTAATGCTGCCAATCTAACAAGAGCTTCTTTAGATAATATAAGGCATATTCTTAAGCAACACACTGTCTTCAGCAATATATTGAAATGAGCCGGCGAAAGCTGTAACAGATTTTGCGCTACCCTGGACTTTACTGAAAGAGCTGGTATATTTTGTGAACTTTTTTGTTTTTAATGTGCCATTTGAAAAAGTTTATTGTAAGAAAATGGGACAGCTGTACGAGGAAATAAACAACATACTAAAATAATATATTTATATAATACGACTGTATAACGTTTAGTATTTTTGCAAAAGAGTGTAAAATAATATGTGCATTTACAATTCTGTTATTTTCGTTTTATTTTAATCCATGCATATAACTGAAAATTAATTAATATGTAAACGTAAAAGAGCAATTATTTTCAGTTACTCTCTCTTAAGAGGCTCACCAGCGACCGGATGCGTATTACCTTTAAGGTTTTACTACATAAACCCCCCAACCAACCAACTCAAAGTCGCTGAACACTAATAGTTCGGTCGGGGTTCAAATCCGGACGAACGGGCTGGCTCCAGGGGCATTTTCGTGGTTTTCCCCAAGTGTAACATGTATACAAGGCTGGTTCCCTTTAAAAATCCTCCACGAAGGCATCCTTCCCTTTAGGCAGATAGCCCTTGAGTACTTTGCCGTCATTAAATAAACCAAACAAACGCTATTAGGAGCAAAATATAATATTAATTAATTCTAACTAATACATTTTGTATCACTAATACATTTTTGATCAGACCAATACATTTTATATCAGTAACACACAGTCGAATAGAATTAGCACTTAAATAATTTTGGTATTATTCGGTTTCGAGGGCCGTAAAAAAATCCAGCGAAAATGTACGCGCCAAAGCGCCAAATCTAGCAAACCTGCCCATTTAACAGCGCGCCAAATCGAGCGTACGCGCTGATTTCAGATTGCGTAAGTTTATATAGTTCTATATTCCTTAAGATGCCATTGAAATACTAGTTTAATTTTTAAGTCCTTTTTTGATTTTAAATCCTTTTTCGATATCCTATGGATTTAACAATTTGGGAATTGGCCATGACGAAAACTCGGCAACAGAATTTTTGGGTAAAGTGCAGAATCACCTACTTCTTGACGCGTTTTTAAGAATTGCACATACTCGGTATCCATGTGCACATCGACCTAATTTCACTTAAAAAAAATCCTAGAATTGCACAAAAATGGCAGTGCGCACACCTTTGAGTTTATCTATGTACACATCGACCTATTTTCACTTAAAATGTAAAAGAAAATTGAAAAAATACAATTGCTTTAACCTTGTAAAAAGCGGCAAACAAATAAGTGAGCGATTCTGCACTTTACCGTGTATATTTTCAAAGTAAAGGCATCATTCCTTATAGAAAATTACGTTTGAACAACCAACAAGATGAAATTATGCTTTAGCGATAAGTCGATAGAGAAATAGCGATGCAGGCATCTATTCAGTTATTTAGCACTTTTTATATAAATTATAATAATGATCTGAAATAGTTATTTACTCTTATGCTTCCATTCAGTCATGTTTAGCCTTTTTCATATAAATTATAATAATAAAAAATATTATATGAAATTAACCTTTCATCTAAATTAAAACATCCATCTTAAATAGTTATTTACTATTATACTTCCTTTCTTGCCGCAATTATTAGGGTTGCCGCAATTATTTTTGGCAGCATTGGCATCAACAATACTTTGGCGATTTTTTACGGCCCTCGAAACCGAATAGCACCATAATTTCTTATGGCATTATATTCGATTTCTTTTTTATAGGCTCTCAAGGTGAAAACTATATAAAAAAAAAAAAGAAAACTTCAAATAGCTTCTTGCTACATTCAGTTAAAATTTACAGAAATTTTTATTCTCTAAACTACATAATACACTGAAATAAAATTACCATGAACATTTTAAACGGATCGATGAACCATATGAAGCCGTACGTCAGAAGTCTGTTCATTATTCAGACCGAATCCTTTTTACAACTGCGTAACCGCTCATGCTGAGCAGGAAGCGTATTAAAAAATACTTCGTTTTGGCATTTACCTTACTTCACGGTCACAGGCAAAGCAGACGGTTAGGTAAGAAGAAAGTCTATCATTCTTCTCGACTCAGTATTGGAGGGAAGTTAACCATCTCCTGCCATGTAAGTAGCATTTTTTTACATGCTCTAAAAGCTAAAAAATATTTTAGATACGTATAATTTTTTGTCTTAATATTTCCCTTGAATTAGTTGAAGTTATAGCGACTAGAAATGCTTTCGTAATGCTTGTAATGCCAATAGTTTATAATGTATTTTCTGATTAATTCATGTGCAAAAATGAGTTATCCATTGCTATTAATGGTGTATGCAAAAATACCTTTTATTCGGTTACTTTTCAGAATATGCGTATCTGCAGCATAAATATCCTAGAATGAAAATGTTGTGCCATGTGTATAATGTATTTTAATGGAATTAATGTAACTCATAAGAATCATGGCTTATGTAAAATTAAATTCATAATTTTGGAATGTTAGCTTTCCATCCAAGCAATTTCCCTTAAGGGGACTCATACACCTTAAAACCCATAAGATGTTCGAATAGGTGACTGTTGCAAGAATTGGAATAACATATTTAAGAGCAATTACTACCAACGTTTTACAGACGACTACATAATATAGCTGCTTTCTGAAATAATAATCAGAAAGTTTGTGTTGCCACAAATATTTTTATAATTTAATTCGCTTTGTGACAACATTTTTCGTCATGTTTCCAACTTGCGCGCACATTTTAAAACATTCTGTTTCATAATTTAATTCCATATTTAATATATAGCTTTTATAACGTCTGGAAACTACTGTGAACCTAAAATTCTAAACATTTCATGTTAAATTTTTATTTTATTTTGAGTTGAATTTATAAAATGTATTTTATTAAAAAAATTTGTAATGTTTTCGTCCATAAAATTTTTCATTAGTAAAATATTCATCAGATTGTTGGTTCAGTTAGAAAATAGTGCCCATATAAAGAATTCCGTCAAATTTCAAGTATATACCATTAGCCATTTTTAAAATATCCTGCGCGCAAGGTGAAAATATGGCGAAATATTTTTGTCACAAAGAGGATTAAATTACAAAAATATTTGTGGCAACACAAACTTTCTGGTTACTAGTTTCCAAAGCAGCTATATCATGAAGTCAGCTGTAAAAAGTTGGAAGTAATTGCTTTTAAAATAAATAAAATATCTCAATTCTTACAATAGTCACATATTCGAAGATCATGAGGGGTTTAAGGTCTATGAGTCCCCTTAAAATTACAGTCTGCAATATTTATAAAAACAGCACATATATGTATAACAGAACGTATTGTGCTAGTGTGTATAAAAATTTCTGAAGGGAACTTAGAAAGTGGATAAATTTCCGCTTAAATAAGCATAAATTTATAATTTCTCAGCGTTTAATTCACATTTGAATATTTTCCCTAAGAGGGGAAATTATTATTTTATGCTTTATCAATATTTGTTCCTCTAAAATTATACATCTAAAATGTGTACAATTAAATCCATAAATTTACAGAATTGAGAATTACCGTTTTCTTATCCTAGATTAGGATTCTTATTCAAGTTTACGATTTTAATGAAAGATCTGCTTTAGATTAAAATCGCTTAAGCCTTTGTAATCTAAGAAAATTTGTACAAAGGCTCAACGTGGAATCAAAAGCTTAAAGCCTTTGTAATCAAAACCTTCAAACACTAACAAATGTTTCTTTTTTTTTTTTTAACAAATTCATTTCGGAAAATAAACTTTAAAAGAAACTACCCCTTTAAGATTCATGCATATAGGTTAATTATATGTTGTAAATATGGATCAAAATTACATATTTTAAAATAAAAATTTAGCATATTTTTAAATAGAATTTAGTAAAGCAATTATAAATGTTGTTCTGTCTAAAATGCAGTATTATAAATTAATTTAAAATTCATACCTTTGACATGAATGATTTACAGAAAGTTTTCGACTCTTGCATTATAATTTTAAAATACAAATTTAGCATGTTTTTAAATAAAATTTAGTAATACAGTCATTAAAATTGTTCTGTCTAAAATGCAGTGTAGTAGTACAATTATAAATATTGTTCTGTCTAAAATAATGCAGTGTTGTAAATTTTTAAAATTCGTATCTTTGACATGAATGATTTATAGGCCATTTTCGACACTTACATTATAATTTTTAAATAAAAATGTATCATGTTTTTAAGTTAAATTGGCATGAATGATTTACTTGGTGCACTAACTGACTTATTTCACTATGCTACTAAGTTTCAAATGCAAATAATAGCCACAACGTTAAGTCTAGCTCAATTTGCACTTTTCATTTGCTAATAATTCTACAACTATTGCATGCAGATTAACTAAAGGCATAAAAACCCTAATCGGAAGATAAGAGCAATATAATTCAATCAATTTCAAAGCAATGAACAGCCAATTAAATAACATATAAGAATAAAAAATTAGTTCACCGAAATGGGCAAGGGGGTGGCTATTTTGGTGCAGCCGATTGACACGGAAAAGGGAGGTGCACAACTAGATGCTATAGCAGTCTCATATACAAAATTTTAACAACTACTTGTTTTTTAAGTTATGGGAGATAAATGCATACATGCATACGTACGTACAGACGTCACGAAAATTCCCCTTCTGAATTCATTTTAAATCCATTATGCAATTAGGAATAATAATTAAGATTCTGTAAATTAGGAATTGTTCTGTACAAATGTGCAGATGTCAAACAAAAACATCGTTTATATGGCTTCGACAGCTATCAAAATAGATATTTTTTTGAAATATGACACCCGAAATTTTTCGCGATTGTTATACTTCTCATTAGGGAGTAAATTTAACCAAATCTCTTGCAAAGATACGTATGTACCAATTCGCATTTGGTGGTAGGTGGCGCCTTGTGCACAGAAAAGTACTTCTTTTAGTCCCTATCATTTCAAGCAGCTTTTTTTTCTTTCATATTAGGAATGGCAACGATAAGGATAGATGCAGGTTCATGAAAGGAATGCCTGTGTTAATGAATCGAAAATAAAAACGAAAACCCACAAATACAGAAATTTATAAATAAGAATGCATAGAATTATTCAAACGACAATTGCACTTAGTTTCATTTTCAGTTCCTGTTGACAGAATTATATGAATGTGAATATTTAAAAACAGAAGTAAACATGCTTTATTGCTTTCAGATCAGATTACATCAGCTTGAGTATGCTAAAGGTTTCCTGTGTCTCAGATAAATTATTTTTAATTCCTAAAAACAGATAACTAAAACAAATAAATTAAAACAGATAAATTATTTAAACATATAAATTATTTAAACAGATAAATTATTTAAACAGATAAATTATTAAAACAGATAAACAGATAAAACAGATAAATTAATTTTAATTCCTAAAATTTTCAGCAACGGATTCACCAAAATGGTTCATAAGAAAATCCACAGTAAATGCTTAAATATTTTTAATTAGATCATCATACCCTACATATTCTTTTAATTTGCTTAATTAGTGTAGCAATGTACTGTACTAATATCAACACTAAAGATCTTAATTAACAGAGCACGACAGCATCACTAAATGGCAAAGGGAAAACTAAATGACCTAGTTAGCATAGGCATGATCTAAAGGTGATAAAGAAAGCAAGTTTACTACACTGTAGACCAGTGTTTCTCAACCTTTTTTGTGCTATGCCCCACCTAATCCTCTCTAAATATGTTAAGCTTCCCTAGCATATACATAATTTTTAATATTTAAAAATTGAAATTTTCACGAAAGAAACTTGAATGATAGCTTTTAGGAAGAAATAACTACGAAATTTTATGAGCAAACACAGTAAGTGAACTTTCAAAACATGGAGACCTGAAATTCAAGAAAAAACTTATTTTAGTGAAAGTTTTTTATTTTAAGTATTACTAATTTTCTATTTAAATTTAGCGAGTTCCTTGCACTTATACTTCTGCAAAGAACTTTTAGTCAGATTCCAATTTAGATAACTTGAGTCTTAAGTTTCCCGGTTTCATTATATCCAACCGAATTTTTTTTATTTTATTTTATTTTTTTTTTTTTTTTTTTTTTTTTTTTTTTTTTAGCAGCAAATCATTTATGGTATTAAATTCGCATTCAGTAAAATATGAAGATAGAAACGGTAACAATAGTTCTCTTGCATTTGGATATCTCTTTTTGTTGCATTTGGATATCTTATTCTGGTTTCCTCACAAAGCTGTATCATCGCTCCTTTTATATTAAATAAAGTTTTAATTGACTCATCATTTTGCATTTCTGCGAGTTCTCCATTTTACTGCATATTTGAAATGTCAGCCAAATCCACTAGCATTGGCTGCATCATCCATGTTGGAAAATCAATTAAGTTACAAAATCTTTTAAATCAGCCGATGAAATTTTCAGATGATCGACAATAATAAGTATAGTGGTAGTCGCGTCATATTTTTGGAGCCAATGAGACTTTTCAAACTTTCTATAGTTAATAGTATATGGCTGACATAATTCAACAAAGATAATGAAACCAAATATCTTCTTTTTGCATCATAAGTTTTATTTGCTCTTTAAAGTTGTTTATTTAATATATTTAATTTTTCAAAGATATCGGCTAAATAACTCACAATTGCCTTGTTATCATCCGTTAACGGATTTTTCATTTCAGGTTTGTCGCTTAAAAAATAACTAAGAGTATCAAATAGTTCCATAAATCTTTCCAAGCAGTTCCCTTTCGACAGCCTTCTTACTTCAGTGTGAAGTACAAGTCTCATATAGTCTTCATTTTGTTCTTCATAAAATAACTTGAAAAGACGTTCACATTTGGCCCTAGCTTTAATAGCATTGATACACTTTATAACTAAATTTAGTACTTCATTTAGAACAGGCGAACTGTTTTTAGCTACTAGGTTTTCTCTACGAATAACGCAATGCGCAGGAAGAATTTCTGGATTCTCACCTTTTATCAATTTTAAGCAACCCCTTTTTCTTATTCCGTGCTTTTCTTTATTTTTCAACTATCATTTTAGGAGCACCATCAGCAGTACAAGAATGGTATTATATTTTTAGCTTACTATAAATATCTTTGGAGGTAATAGGTGCTTTCTAATGATGTT